CGTTTGGTAAGTAAATTTAAATGCTACAAATTCATGTAATATTTACTCATCTTTGTCTAGTAAAAGTTATTAAGAATATAGTTAAAGATTTGTGAATAAATCAGGTAAATTTACTTAATTTGCTCAGTTTAATCTTGTAAATATACTTGATCAAATTAAGTAAAATTTACCTGATTTATTCACAAATCTTTAACTATATTCTTAATAACTTTTACTAGATAACGATGAGTAAATATTACATGAATTTGTAGCATTTAAATTTACTTAACAAACGTTAGTGCAAATTTGTTAGAAGATTTTTTTCAAATACATCTTACAAGTTATTTTTTTCCGTGTAGTTTGGAGACAGAATAGCAGATTATTCTCACCAACTCCACCGAAGGGGAGAGAGCTGAGTGTGTAGTGCATCATGACATCATTAACTGTCACTCCTCCACTTGTGGTCTCCTCAATCATCCGTTTCACTGCCTTCGGAAGGTGATGGAGGTGAGAGCCAGGAGACAAAAGAAAAGTCAGACAAAGAAACCCTGTAAAGTTTAAAACAGGGGTTCCAATCCTGGTCCTGGAGGACCACTATCCTGCCTGTTTCTCTGCTCCAGTACAGTGACTGAATTACCTCTTCATGTTCTGCAGAAACCTGTTAACCAGCCGTTTATTCAAAGCAGGTGTGTTGGAGCAGAGGAAGCTCTGAAACCTGCAGGATAGTGGTCCTGGACAGGCCTGGTCTCACCTTCTTGTCTGAGCAGAAGATGTAGAGGGCCAGGGGTTTCTCTCTCTCGTTGATGAACTGAATGGCATCGTCCATGTCGCTCACAGCCACTATGGGCAGCAGAGGACCGAAGATCTCCTCCTGCATCAGTCTGGAGTGGGGGGGCACGTCCTTCAGCACTGTGGGGGCTTTTCATCAAAGCATCAGAAAACCAAAAAACATGTCTGGATAAAACATGACAAAGTAATAACTTCAGTTTAAAGCTTTTATTGGTTTATTTGAACCCTTTGTTCTCCAGCATCAACTTTGAACAAGAACTCTGCACAAGTTTATAGACTCTATAAACTCAGCACAAAAAGTAAGGAAATTTGTGTTTGGTAGATTATTTCTTTATTGCTACTTAAACCGTTGGAAAACCTGTTAATTTCCATTTTAAGTGGTGCCACATTTGTAAGGAACATGCATTTGTGGGCTGAGCACACTACAAAAACTGTCCATCTAACCAAGTTTTAAAATCTTATATCCATCCAAAAAGTCTTTTTGATCTTGTTTTGAGACTGATTTACTAAAAAAGAACTGATTGTGTAAGAATAATCATCTTGTTTTCAGAATGTGTAAGATTATTTGTCTTGTTAGTCTGAATATTTGAATGAAATTCAGTCAAAATCTTCTGCCAGTGGAGTAAGAACATTTTACTTGGTAAGATTCATGAAATAAGAAAAAAACTGAGTCAAATCAAGTATTTCCATAATC